CTGCCAAGTAAATTACACTGTCAAGGTCCAGAAAAGTATGAAAAGCATAATCAGAATAGTCCATCTGCCATCAGTGGTTCAACTGTAACGCTATGAAGCGACGAGAATACTTTTTTGTACGCGAAGAAAACAAAAACGACTTTATTGAACAATTCGTCTCCTCTATGTCTGTCCGCATCACCGTAGCACCATTTTGGAGAATATGAGCTGAACGCAGGCAGCTTACGCTCTTCTGTGTCAGCCGTGCCACAAGGCGCCTCATATTCTCCAAAATGGTGCTACGGTGATGCGGACAGACATAGAGGAGACGAATTGTTCAATAATATGGGACAGTCACAAGCTTCCCGGTTTTCATCCAAAATATGTTAAATTGTGTTCCGAAGACGAACGAAGCTTTTACAGGTTTGGAACGACATGGGGGTAAGTGATTAATGACAAAATTTTCATTTTGGGGTGAAGTATCCCTTTAAATGTGTTATCATGCTGATATCTGCAGAAAAACGTTGCTCTTTGAGTGATATAGATTAAGTTAACTATATTAAATTATATAAATATAAAAAGCATACAGAAGCATTTTTGCTGTCCATAATTCAGAATGGCTGGAATTTTGAGTTTTAATAGACTAATAAATCACGTGCGTGCACTCTGTGTGTGATTTGGTGATGTAGCCTAATTGATAATGTCAGATCGCACATCATTACAATAACACTTACCATGTTATCGCAGAAGATATACTGTATATCGCACAGCACACCCCAGACTCGACTTGAGTGGAAAATGAATCATCTGCGGTTGTGCGCGCACTTGTTTGCACATGAGCAAATGTGTTTTTAGGAATCTAACTTGCAGACGCCAGACCACTGATTCGTCAAACCTGCTTTCCTGCAGTCCGTGTTCTTCTGACTTCTGACTATTTTGTAGTAAGTAATGAATATGCTTTGGGGAAATGTATCGGATTAAAAGTATACATTTTAATTAGGAAATGTAGTGGAGTAAAAGTAAAAGTTGGCTGAATTATAAAAACTCAAGTAAAGTACAGATAATCCCAAAAAATACTTAAGTACTGTAACGAAGTATTATTACTTCGTTACATTACACCACTGGATCTGAATGAGCTTTAGAACAGAGACTAGAGATTTACAGGATAAATTTATCAAGTTTGTGTTCTGTTCATTACAAATGAGACAGGTGGAGTCTTGAACAAAGCGCACAATTAATAAAAAAAAAAAACAATTACGATTACAGCTGCTGTGGATTAACAAATCATGACAAGTGTTGATTACGGCATTTCATTTAGAGCTACTTCTGTTGTGTCAAAGGCACATAAATGCGACAGATCAGAGTTCTGTATTCTTGTGAATGCTGTCATTATGACCAACAAAGTGTGTAAGCAATGTTAACAAGAGATTCATTGTGCAATGTAGACAGCTGCATTGAATAAACAGGGGTTTTTGCAAAAAAGCTGAACTCAGTCAGACCACATCATGAGATCAGGGGGAACAGTTTTTCAAAATCTATGAAGTAATCATCATTTAAATTAAGTAGCTTTTTTAAAATTTATGTTTGTGAGTTTATTACCACAGAGGAAAGGATTGTATGACATTAGTGTAAATGGCTACGAATTTTGATGATTCCTTCTCTATTTTTAATTGGTTTTATAAAGCACTGCCTATAAAATGAGTGTCTATGAGAAGAGAGAGGAGGAGGATGTTCACACTTATAAAGCAGCATCTCCAGAACCCAGCTGTATGTCTATGAAGAGTGATGCATCCATGGGAATCCCCCTTAATTTCAGTGATGGAGCAGTGACCTCTGACCCTGAGTGAGTATAAATGTGTTTTAACAGCAGTTACGGAAACATCTCTACAGTTCTTCAATGAGCCAAAAAGGTTATGCAAGATTGTTTTATGATTTATTATATAGATGATGCTTTGTTATTTTCTGAACTGACCCTTAAATAATTAAGTGTCATAAGTGTGTAAATGTGAGCTCAAAATTTGGTGTGCAGGAACATTTGAATGTTTTTCTCTATTTTAATGTTTTTTCACAGTTTTTCTGCTCATCTCACACTTTCTGCAGAGTGAAGAGAGATGATGTGATCAGATCAGTGACGCCTCGTCTGACCTGCACTAACTCTGACTGTCAGACCCTCATCAGACAGAGAGTCAAAGACCAACACAAAACAAGCATGAAAAGCAAGTATGAGAGATTATTTGAGGGAATCAAACTAGAAGAGAATCAAACCCTCCTGAACAGGATCTACACACAGCTCTACATAATAGAGGGAGAGAGTGAAGGAGTGAATGAAGAACATGAGGTTTTACAGATGGAGAAAACAGCCAGAACACAAGACACTCCAATCTACTGCAATGACATCTTTAAACCCTTACATCAACCAGGATGTGAGGAGAAAGACAAAATCAAGACTGTTCTTACTAAAGGCATCGCTGGAATTGGAAAAACTTTCTCTGTGCAGAAGTTCATTCTGGACTGGACCGAGGGAAAAGCCAATCAGGATGTAGATTTCATGTTTGTGCTTCCATTTCGAGAGCTGAACTTGATCCAAGATCATCAGTACAGTCTTCACAGACTTCTGCTGGACTTTCATCCTGAACTTCAAGATCTGGACTCACAGATTTATGAAGAGTGTAAAGTTGTGTTCATCTTTGATGGTCTGGATGAAAGCAGAATTACACTTTTGTTTTCAGACGATAAGAAAGTTTGTGATGTGAATGAGTCTTCATCAGTCGGTGTGTTGATGTCAAACCTCATCAGAGGAGAGCTGCTTCCCTCTGCTCTCATCTGGATCACCTCCAGACCAGCAGCAGCCAATCAGATCCCCTCAGAATACATCAACCGTGTGACAGAAATTCAGGGATTCAGTGAGCCTCAGAAGGAGGAATATTTCAGGAAGAGAATCAGTGATGAGCATCAAGCCAGCAGAATCATTACCCGTCTTCTGCTGGATCTCAGCCACTGTGCTTCAAAACCTAATGAAACAAGATGACAGTGCAGAAATCCCTCAAACTCTGACTGAAATGTACATCCACTTTCTGCTGACTCAGATCAACATGAGAAATCAGAAGTATGATGACAAAGATCCAGAGAAACTCTCAAAGTCCAACAGAGAAGTGATTGTGAAACTTGCTGAACTGGCTTTCAAACAGCTGATGAAGGGCAATGTGATGTTCTATGAGGAGGACCTGATTGAGAGCAGCATAGATGTCACTGATGCCTCCGTGTATTCTGGGATTTGCACTGAGATCTTTAAGGAGGAATCTGTTATTCATCAGAGGAAAGTCTACTGCTTCATACATCTGAGCTTTCAGGAGTTTCTGGCTGCTTTCTTTCTGTTTTATTCACATGTAGTTAGGAACTTGGAAATACTGAAGACATTTCTGAAAGGATATAAGTGGTACAGTCGAGAAATCGCTCTGTTTGAGCTACTAGAAGGCACAGTTGATAAATCCTTACAGAGTGAAAATGGACACCTGGATCTTTTCCTGCGGTTCCTGCTGGGCATCTCACTGGAGTCCAATCAGAGACTCTTACAGGATCTACTGACACACACAGTGAACAGCTCAGAGACCATCAACAGAATTACACGATGCATTAAAGACACAATCAATGATGATAAAGGTCTCTCAGCTAACAGGTGCATCAATCTGTTCCTCTGTCTGCTAGAAATGAATGATCAGACTCTGTACAGAGAGATTCAGAAGTTTGTGAAATCAGAGAATCACTCAGTGAAGAAACTCTCTCCTTCTCACTGCTCAACAATCGCCTACATGATTCAGATATCAGAAAAGGTGCTGGATGAGTTTGATCTGAAGAAATACAACACATCGGATGAGGGTAGAAGGAGACTGATACCAGCTGTGCTGAACTGCAGAAAAGCTCTGTGAGTCTTTTATTTTGTACTTGATTTAGATTTCCAAGGAAAGTACACAGTTACAAAAATCTAGACAGGTACAGCAGTTGAGAGTGTCAATTTTTATTCAAAGAATTACTTTATCATGACCATTCCATCTCATTGAACGTTACTATTAAACAGGCTGTTTTTTGCTAGTGTTCCACTCAGGCTATTAAAGTAAAACTGAAATGATCAGGGATCTTGTTAAGAATAAACTTGAGACACTCTTTCCGAATGTTTGGAACAGCACAACATTTAGAATTGAACACATCAACATTTAGTTACTATATACCAACCGCAATATTAAAACCTGATTGACCACACTAATTTAAACCTATTTGAGATTATTGTAAGTCAAATTTCAGAGTTCACTCATTAGTCATATGAGCAATATGTCAATATATCAGCACAGAAAACAATAATTTAATCAACCATATCTTCATCCTGTTTTACAGACTTTCTGACTGTAATCTCACTGATCAGTGTTGTGAAAGTTTGTCTTCATCTCTACAATCATCAAACTCATTGAGAGAGCTGGACCTGAGTAACAATGACCTACAGGATTCAGGAGTGAAGATTCTCTCTGATGGACTGAAGAGTTCACACTGCCAACTCAACATACTGAGGTAAGAAAAACAGATAAAAGTTCACTTGGTTATGAAATTAAAGATGCTCTCTGCTCTGGCCCTGATCTCCTGTGTGTTTGTAATATATCAGCACAGCCCAGTGTGTCTGAAGACTTTGGGGTTGCATTTGCTCCAGCCTGTTTTTCTGTGATTAATTCAGTGATTAAAATGTCTGTTGTGATGAGTGGAGATAAACAGAAACTGTTACTGAGATCATCTGCTCCATAAACACTGTGACACTGAGTAAAACACTAAACCCAGAGTTTCTCCAGCTGAACTGAACCTGTAATCAGTGATCTGTGGATAAAAATGGCAAATTGAATCAGTGAATCATTTGATTTAAAGCAGAATTACAGGTGATATGATGTTGAGTGTTTGTTTGTGTTTGTAGATTATCTGGCTGTATGGTGACAGAGGAAGGCTGTCGTTTTCTGGCTTCAGCTCTGAGTTCAAACCCCTCACACCTGAGAGAGCTGGATCTGAGCTACAATCACCCAGGACAATCATTAGTCAAGCTGCTCTCTGATCCAAACTACAGACTAGGCAAACTCAAGTATGTTCAGCACTAACAATCACCACATGGGTTTGTTCATGTGTGTGCTGTAAAGTACATGTGTGAGCTATTAAAAACCTGTTACAGTTGATAGATTTTTGGCCGAGAGATTAAGAAAAGAGTTATTTTAAAAGAAACAGAGTTGACTTTTTAGACTCAGTGGGCCCTATCATACACCAGGCGCAATGCGACACCAGACGCGACGCAAGTTTTTTTTGCTAGTTTCAGCCCGACGCAGTTATCATTTTTCAGCGCCACGTTGTTTAAATTGTGCCCATCTGTTTGCCCATGGGTGTGCTGGTCTGAAAGTGAGGTGTGTTCAGGCACGTTGTTGGCGCATTGCTATTTTGAGGCAACTGAAAATGATTGTGCAGTATTTTTTATTTATTTAAGGTTTGAGTCTTACCTCTCATATAGGTCCTTCAGAAGGTATCTTGGAGAGGTGAGGTGTCCAAGTCCCAACATCTAACTACTGGGGTGCCTCAGGGCTCAGTTCTTGGACCACTTCTCTTCTCTGTCTACATGGCATCACTAGGTTCTGTCATTCAGAAACATGGCTTTTCATATTACTGCTATGCTGATGACACTCAACTCTACCTCTCATTCCATCCTGATGATCCGCTTGATTTTATTCCTAAATGAATGAATGAAGCATTTTGAACGAATTGATTGAATAAAAGGCTCCTTTATTAACACAATGACTTACCGCCACCTAGTGGCGATATTACTTTCATAATTCAAGTATCATTTCATTTTATTCATATTTCTGTATTACAAAATGTTGTATAAAACTAATCTTATTTCATTATACATTTGTAATTGCTATGTAAATGCAGGTACATCCGTCTGATCAGCATTAAACTGTAAATACTTATAAAAGCATCTTCAGACGCAGGTTCTATATCTCTGAATACTGATTTAATTGGTAACAGCCTCATATTATTCTAATGTATTTGGTGTAAGAATTTAACATTAAAGATGACATACAAAAGGTAAATAAATAAATAAATAAATAAATAAATAAATCAAAAACTGAAAATCAGTTGCCCCTTATGGGAAAGTTAATTTCTGACACTGCTGACACTGGCTTATTGTTCGAAGTGTTATTTCAGTGTGGATATGTTATAACTCAAACGAGTTCACCTTCAAATCATGACGTCAAATTCACATTTCACTAAAGTCAATCACTGAAACAAGCACTCTGAGGAACAAATAGTCCCATGCCAGTGGGATAACAACATATGATTTCCTAAATTTGTATAAAGTGCTCTATGAATAAAACTCAAAATAGAAAAATAATAGATGTGCTGTGAAGGTAAATTATACAAAGTCATTTCCTTTCATAACTGTCATATTAATTAAGTTCCTCCATTGTCCAAAACGCAGCGTATTGTCTAAAACAAAAATTATGACTGTATGTTCACATAAATTGATAGTGGTCTGCGCTTCCCTCAATACATTATCCCCATGCTGCAGTGCGTCGCGCAGCTTTGCCACACAGATTTTGATAGGTGGATAAATATAATAAAACAGGCGGTGTGCCAAAGGACCAAAAGGCTCTGCCTCGGTACGGTTTGTGTCAAGCCATTCATTAATCTGGCTGTTTGATGAAGAGAAAGAGATAAAATGTAGTAGAAATAAACATGTTAAGAATCCATAGAAGCGGAAAACTTTTATTATGTTTTTTTAGGACTATTATTATGTTGTAATGTTTGTTTGACCAATCAGCGGAGAGGGGCGTTTCATTCCCGCCCACAAGTAAAGATCGAATATTCAAGTTCTTTATTCGTTTTCTATCCCTGAGCGTAAAAACGAAAAATGAAGCCGGATTCTTGATTTTTCATTTTGTTTAAACAATTGAAAAACGAAATATGTACCATTTTTCAGATTTCAATATTAAATTAAAAAACGATTGGACGGAAGATACCCAATCAGGGCATTACCGCCACCTATTTCTCAAATGGACCATTGACACTCCTAATTGAGATTGTAGATAGAGTGTCAATGGTAAGAAGGAAGACGCGAATGCGCTCAGGACAGTTGGACATTGCGGTGAATCAAAAAACTATATAAATGCTGTGGTAAAAAACGATATAAAACGATATAAATACTGCGGTAAAAAATTATATAAATACTATTCAGTTTCTTGCACAGACCGATCGTTTCATGTCTTTACACATCAATGCATCGTCACGAGCCGCAGGGTTTAATTTGGTTTTGTTTGTGTATGTTTTTTTGACTCTCAAAGCCGTGATTCCCATCCACTAACATTATATGACTGACAGACAGCAACGGTTTGAGTTAAAAATCTTCGTTTGTGTTCTACTGAAGAAACAAAGTCACCTACATCTTGGATGCCCTGGGGGTAAGCAGATAAACATCAAATTTTCATTTTTGGGTGAACTATCCCTTTAAGTAATTAAAGCGTGCTAATTTGCATACATTTGACACAAGGCATTGCAGATGAATAGGATAAACAAAATAACTAAAGCATATCACCACAGAACTTCCCCAGTTATTAGTTAATGACTTACATAAAGAGTCTTTTCCCTTGAAATGTTATGTTTAAATATGCAGATAGCTTGTTTTGGTTAATTTAGAAGAAATCTACAGAAACAAACAGACTAAGGTAGTAGGCTTAAAACAAACTTAATGTGCATTTTGTAAATTTCCTTTCCATTTGAGCAAAAGAAGACATAGAAGCAAAATAGACCAAAATCTCAAAATTGAACAGTACATGAAGTGTCCTGCCTTAAACAATAACTTCATAATTTTGCAGTGTGTTTTAATTATTTTTGCAGTGTTTTTCCTGTAACACAACAAATTAGCACCAACTTAATTTCAGTGTAATGGTCTTTGTTAATTTTGAAGTGTTATATATTACTATAACACCAAAAGAATTAAAACAATTTATTGTCTTGTGCAAAATAAACAAATTATTAGTGAAAAAATGTCCCTTTCCTTTGTGCAGTAATTTATTCTAAATATATACTTGAAACTAGTAGCATAGAAAACATGCACATTGTGGCTTAGTTTCCTTTGTTGTTACCTGTTCTTGTGATAAAATGAGTGAATGTTAAAGAAGACCATGGTCTCTATGTGAACTGATTATTTTGTAGACATATGTTGAAAAATGAAACAGCATGAAACAATTGGGTGAGTGTAAGGGAATTAAAATAAACTGGTAAGTCAGTGTTGTGTTAATATATTTAACGATTTGTTTAGAATTTATTTTTTTTAATAAATATGTGACAAAATGTCTTTGCACGTCCCTGACGGTGTGTGTGTTCACTATTGTGTGTGTATGCGCACTTGGGTGGGTTAATTGCTGAGCACATATTCCGAGTATGGGTCACCATACTTGGCCACACGTCACTTCACACATTGTGGCTTAGTTTCCTTTTACCTGTTCTTGTGATAAAATTACTGAATGCTAAAGAAGACCATGGTCTTTATGTGAACTGATTATTTTGTAGACATCTACAGTGTGAGGGAATTAAAATAAATTGGTAAGTCAGAGATGTGTTAATATATTTAACGTTTTGTTTAGAAAAAAATTAAAATAAATATGAGAAGTGCCCTTTTTTCCACTTGAGCCCCTGCCCCTCAAAAGTGTGTTTTAATTATTTTTGCAGTGTTTTTCCTGTAACACAACAAATTAGCACCAACTTAATTTCAGTGTAATGGTCTTTGTTAATTTTGAAGTGTTATATATTACTATAACACCAAAAGAATTAAAACAATTTATTGTCTTGTGCAAAATAAACAAATTATTAGTGAAAAAATGTCCCTTTCCTTTGTGCAGTAATTTATTCTAAATATATACTTGAAACTAGTAGCATAGAAAACATGCACATTGTGGCTTAGTTTCCTTTTACCTGTTCTTGTGATAAAATTACTGAATGCTAAAGAAGACCATGGTCTTTATGTGAACTGATTATTTTGTAGACATCTACAGTGTGAGGGAATTAAAATAAATTGGTAAGTCAGAGATGTGTTAATATATTTAACGTTTTGTTTAGAAAAAAATTAAAATAAATATGAGAAGTGCCCTTTTTTCCACTAGAGCCCCTGCCCCTCAAAATGTCTGTGCACGTCCCTGGCGGGGAGAATGTATTGTAGTGAAGCGCAGACCACTATCAATTTATTTAAACATACAGTCATAACTTTTGTTTTAGACAATACGCTGCGTTTTGGACAATGGAGGAACTTAAATAATATGACAGATATGAAAAGAAATGACTTTGTGTAATTTACCTTCACAGCACATCTATTTTTTATTTTTATTTTTTGAGTTTTATTCATAGAGCACTTTCTAGAAATTTAGGAAATCATATGTTGTTATCCCACTGGCATGGGACTATTTGTTTGTCAGAGTGCTTGTTTCAGTGATTTATAAGAGTTATAAGAACATATCAAAACCCTGAAATAACACTTCGATTATGGGACTATTTGTTCCTCAGAGTGCTTGTTTCAGTGATTGACTTTAGTCAAATGTGAATTTGACGTCATGATTTTAAGGTGAACTTGTTTGAGTTATAACATATACAAACCCTGAAATAACACTTCGAACGATAAGCAGTGTCAGCAGTGTCAGAAATTAAGTTTCCCATAAGGGGCAACTGATTTTCAGTTTTATTTATTTATTTATTTACCTTTTGTATGTCATATTTAATGTTAAATTCTTACATCAAATACATTAGAATAATATGAGGCTGTTACCAATTAAATCAGTATTCAGAGATATAGAACCTGTGTCTGAAGATGCTTTTAGAAGTATTTACAGTTTAATGCTGATCAGACGGCTGTACCTGCATTTACATAGCAATTACAAATGTATAATGAAATGAGATTAATGTTTTATACAACATTTTTAATACAGGAGTTATGGTTGATGTGTCTAATTGGATGGTGAGACTCATTCAGGAATGATATACCACTCTATGCGGCGAGTCAGTCACACAACGTTTCTGTGACTTTGGTTTAGTTGGCAGAGAAAATAACAATTTTGTATACCATCAGTTAGCTGGCCAATACTCAGTATTAATTAAATAAACTCAGTTTATTGTCTAAAACTACCTATGTTCACATAAATTAATAGTGGTCTGTGCTTGTCTACAATACATTCTTCCCACGCTGCAGTGCATAATAAATCAGGCAGTGTGACAAAGATGTAGGCTAGTAGGTAATTGTGAGTGCAGGTGCGGAGTAAATGAATATTTATGAGATAAACTAATATTTCACAGGTAGGTTGCAGAATTTATGCCTACACAAAAGAAAGCTCTGTCTAGGCTCTGCCTCAGTACGGTTTGTGTCAAGCCATTCATTAATTGGGCTGTTTGATAAAGAGAAAGAGATCAAATATAATAGAAATAAACACGTTAAAGGGGTCATATGATGCTATTTAAATTTTTCCTTTCTCTTTGGAGTAGTATGGTAAGGGGTGTAATGTTTCCGTCACACGCTTGAGGTATTCGGCCAATCACAACGCATGGGCGGATGGATCAGGTCAGGATCAGGTCTTCAGATAGAGGAATGAATTATGAATTAAATAATTTTTGAAAATTTGATTATTTCATCAGAGTATGAGAAAGGAAATAAAAAGGATGTATCAGTATTGTTTTAATTTATATAGCATGGCAAGACAATTATAGTTACATATAATTATCTGTCATGCAGTTGATAAATGACACCGCAGTAGGCTAATGTGTCTGCTGTGTGCCATTTAAATTTTTATGAAACTTTAATTTTCTTCACTACATTGCAAAGCATAGACTTTTTTCTCCCCTTTATTTGAGGAAAATATGCTGCTCCTCGTTATTTTAAAGTGAAGAAATCGAGAACCTTTTATTTCTACAGGCCAGTGATGATTCTGAAAGAACATAGGCTACCTGGAATCTGTTGCTATAGTAACGAACGCAAATTCATATGCATCGTGCTCTTATTTCAGTGCAGTTGTTAAGATTGTGGTTATTTCAGCAAACAGTGTCATACATTTTAACAGTTGTAACGGCTTTCCAGTAAGCCACTGCTGTTGATAATATGAGTGAGCAAGTTCTAGAACGTGTACAAACAGAGTCCGTGCAAGCAGAAATAGATGCAAAAAAATGTCTTTCTTTATTTGTGCTCCAATAACAATTGTCCCAAAACAACTTGCTATGAGTGTTCCTTTGTTTATTAACATGTACAATACAAGTCCATACCTTGAAGACACAGCATAAGATCATAGTCCATGTTGCAGGCTACTCTGCCGTGCGGTCAAAAACTTTGTGCTTCCCAATTACCAAGTACCAACGCACACACACCTGGCTCTTACACCGGTGTTACAATTATACTGTGTCACAGTGCCACTGAGTGGCCAAGTAAAACTTTACAATAAATGGCTCCAACAACAGTGTTAAAGTCCGCGTGAACCGGAAGTTGCTGCCGACTTTATTTCAGTGTAGTGACGTATTTCCATCTGAAACTGAATATTGAATAGAGGGCATGGTTTTATTTTGGCGCTCCTCCTCTCTGTCTCTCACTCATATCAAACTAACGGTTGGAGGGGTGTGTTTAAGGATATTCTGCCCAAGCCGTCAAACTGACATCATCAGAAAAGGAATGCCATTCCAGAGCGGAAGTAAATGTTCAGATTTTGATTAAAGATTACGAAGACAAACTATTTTTTTCAGCGGATTAACTTGCTCGGATTAGTTGTTCACATCATTACTAGCAATGTGCGCTAGTAAAGTAAATAAAGTCAATTTTGATTTCATGC